CTAGAGGATTGAATTTGATATTGGAAATCATATAGCAAACTGGGTTCGTAGGCAGATTTGGAGTTTGCACCAGAACCTCCTTTTTGGCCTATATAAAGATACATTTTAAAGAAGTTTCAAAAATCAAAAATACTACAGCTGGCAGATGGAAAAAAATCTAGAACAAGACAATCCAAACTCTAATAAATCAACTCATTTATAATAAATATATGATATATTATTGATAAAATTATAATACTGAAGCTTACACATTTCAGCTATATAGTGAAATTTGTATAAAATATATTAATTATGTTAGAAATATAAAAGTGCAATTTCTAATACATTCAGTAAATTTTTTCTTGAGAAATGCCCTAACAAAGGCTTCTTTAGATAAAATTATTAATTGGAAAAATTCAGCAAATATTTTATGTGTCAAGAAAAACTTGTAGGGTAAAGTTAAGAATAGCAATAAGAATGATGATACTTATATTAATTGAATTGCAAATCAGGTATTCAAAGAAGAAAAATTTACTGCTAATAACTTTTTATTTGTTATCATAGTTATTAATCTTATCTATGATGTAGATATAGCATCGATAATGTTTAATAAGGAAATAATAAATAAATAAATAAGTAAATTAAATAATAAAAAGGTATTTAAATAATTATCATTTATCATTATTGATTAATTTAAGTTAATATTTTTACCAAATTACATTTAATATTTAAATTAGAAAAATAGAAAGTTGATAATGATCAGAAAGATAAAGGTAATAATCAAAAGTAAGTCGATTATGATGATAATAAAAAAGAGGAAGAATAAGAAGATTATGAATAAAAATTCAATTTTTTTTTTTGTTTTTAGTATATTTTTTGTTTTAATTCATTAATATAATATATTATTAGAATTTTACTGTAGGCTGTCTATATATTGTAATTGATAATTAGTAAAAAACTTAATTATAAAAGTTTCTATAATAAAATATAAAAATTAAATGTGGTATAATTGTCATTGATTTCACATTCTAGTTTTTATATAATTAATATTTTGATATTTATTAATATAAAATTTTATACATTTTAGTATATAGGTAATGATCATTTAATAAATATTGTAATATCAGTATTATATCACATGATCCAATATTTAGTGTTAATTTATAATATATGGGAGCTTTGCAATAGAAAGGGAGGAAACTCTAAAAAAATTAAAATTTTACTTTCTAAGCTAATTATAATTTTTTTTGTAAAATAAGTTTAGATTTAACATTAACTTAAAAAAAAATTTTTTTAGAGTTTCCTCCCTTTCTATTGCAAAGCTCCCATATATCAAGTAGCTAATATCATTTGATGAACATTAATTTCACGACTTTCTGAATTATATATTACTGTTATATTAATAATGTATATATTATTATAAAGAAGAAGGAATAGGCAATACAGGATATTCAAAATAGATAATCTTGTTATTGTGATTAGTATTTATTAATATTTATTATTTTTTTTTATTTTATTATTTCTATTATTATTATTTTATTAGTATTATTTTTTTTATTTATTTTTATTATTATTATTATTTTGTATTTACTAGCATTCATCATTATTATTTTATTATTATTTTATTATATGTATAAGAAATTCAGCTAATGATTATTAAGCTAGTGCAATAAAGATTATTTGGAACAATATTATTTATTGATCATAATTATTCTTTGGCCAAATTAGTTTACTGGCCAAATTAGTTTCCTGGACAAAAATGTCATGTTAAAATTTATGTATATAAATAGCAGAATTTTTCTTTAATAAAGTTTAACAATTACAACAATTAATACAATTCATATTCACAATATTAAATAAATCATTAATTCTTGAAAGTCTAATAATTCCTTAAATATGAAAATATTATTATCTATTATTTCCTTTTTATATTTTTATTATAATTAATAAACATATCTGATTATATAGAGTGCTGATTAAAAGATGGCACTATAATTAAAAAGTTGTAACGTAGAAATTGCAATTCCATGCAAAATTTATTTTAATATAAAAATTCACAAATAGTTAGTTAAAAATGAAATTATATTAAATATAGTTTAGAGTATAATAAAATCCTGAAACCCAAAATTGGTCAAAATTATATTAAAACATAGTAAGATTATGAAAAAATTATTTTGAAGGAGTTTCAGAAAGCTTTTATATTCAAAATTATATTAAAATCTTATAATTATTTATGGTAAAATACTAAAATAATGAAACTATCATAAAACCAATAAAATTTTTGAAGAGGTTTAAAAAGCATTCTTAATGCTAATTATAATTTAAAATTTGTAATCATAACAATTGCTAAAATCTTATCTTTTTTAATTAACTTTTTTAACTATATATAGTTTTTTTCTTTCTTATTTACTTTTCTACTATATTTATTTGCTTAGTAAATTTATAAATAGTTATTTTTTTATATATTCTTTATTTTATTACTATATTAAATATTTATTTCTTATTAATATATTTTAAAAATATTTGCAACTTTTTATTAATAAATGATAGAATTTACTATTACAGCTAATTTCATATTCGCGAGTCACTAATAAATTGCTACTGAATATGACTGAAAATGTTTTATAATAAAATTACTATTAAATATTATGACTGAATGTAACTGAAAAAGTATTAATAGTTTATGAATTATGAAATTAGTTGTAATCTATAATAAATCAATAATATTTATCTTTTAAACTTAATTTTGCTTAATTATAACTTATTTTATTTTAAATCTATATAAATCGCAAGTTGAATGCCGATCAATCAGGTTCTTTCCAATTGTTTACTATTTTTTATTAGTAATCAATAGATAAAAATTAGTATATACTATAATTGGATATGAATCAATTAATACCTGATTTATAATTATTAGATAGAATTACATAAATAGATTTCAACCTGATTTTATACTTATTTTAATAAATTTAAACTATATATTCAATAGTAACAAATCAGATTCAATTAATAATTAGTTATCAATCAGTTTAATACTTAATTAATTATTATTATTCAATTAGAATTTACCTATTATTAACAATTCGCTAACAAGTCTTATTAACAAAATTTGTTAACAATTTGTAATAAAATTCATTAATGGTTTGCTATGATAATTCATTATATATTTTGCTGAATGAATTCTATTAAATGATTTGTTAATGAATTTTGTTTAATGATTTATTACAGATCTTATTAAACAAATTCTATTAAACAATTTATTAATAAATTCCATTTAACAATTTATTACAGATTTGTTAAATAACTTCCATTTAATGATTCATTATAAAATCTGTATAATGATTTATTTAAATGATTTATTATGATTTTTATTAAATAAATTCCATTTAACAAATTGTTTAAACAATTTATTTAATTTCATTAAACGAATTTCATTAAATGATTCATTTTGATTTTCATTAAATGAATTCCATTTAATGATTAATTAACAAATCTATATAATGATTTATTTAAACAATTCATTATAGTTTTTATTAAAAAAAATTTGTATAATTATTTATTTAAATGATTTTTTCAGTTTTTATTAAATGAATTCCTTTAAATGATTCATTTGGTTTTATTAAAAAAAAATTTAAAAAACAAAAATAAGCACCACCTTAAGTTTGAAAATTTTTTTATTATAATTCTTATATTTTACTCTAAAAACAATCCTTATTCTTTATCTTAATCTTCCAATTTATCAGTTAAATTACTATTTCTATCTATAATTTTTCTTTTATCTTCATTTATATCCTCTTCTATTTTATTTTGTCCAAATAAATCATCTTCTGAACCATCCATTGCATTACTAATACCAGACTTTTTAAATGATTTTACAATCATTTCTTTTAGAATTTCTGCCCAAACTTCAAGAATCCATTTACAAATAATACCAAATTCAGGTTTTTTTAAATTTCTACCTTTAGTATAAGAAAATTGACCTGAACTCATCCAAATATTCCACTTTCACGAAGTTTATCCTTAAATGGCTTATTAAGGCAAATATCAAGTGGTTGAACAATAGAATTAAGACTACCAGAAATAATTGTCAAATCAGTATTTTTATTGAACGCAAAATTTTTAATAGTATTGGTCTTATGACCTTCAAAATTATTCATAACGAGAAAAGATTTTCTTTTATTAATGCTAGTTCTACCCGGCCTTTTTTTCCAAACTTTATTAAACTATGTTTTCATTCCTGACTCATCCATCCATTCCTTTGGATGCATCAATGCAATAATTTCAGAAGGTAAATTTTTTGGAATTTGTTTACCTTTAAAAATGATGATTGGTTGTAATTTGTACCATTTGCAAGAACAATAAGAACACAAGTGAAGTGGTTTTTTTTATTTCCAGTTGTTCTTACTTGCACAGTTTTTGCACCATGCTTTTCAAGAGTAAATTCCCAACCATATCAAAATAAATTGGCATCTCATCTAAATTTCTAATTTGATAAAGTTCATACTCAAACCATTTTCATTTTTTAATAATAAATCATTGAAATTCCAAAAGTTTATCATCAAGATGAATAGGAAGTTTTTGTCTAATTTTTGTTTTACGCTGTAAAGAATATCTACTCCTTTTAAAAAACCTTAAAACTAATGTTATGAAGCAAGAAAATTTTCACAGTTTGGATAAATATGGGCAAACTGGTTTATTAAAATTTCTTTCATATGAGTTTTAACCATTTTAGGAGTTATCGCAATGCCATCTTTTTGAAATTCTATAAGCCATATTTTTAAACTAACTTCAGCTTCGGAATATTGTTCTTTTCTTTCTGCACCAACACATCGATATTTTCCTTTTGCAAACCTCAGTTTTTCTTCCTGTTTTTCCTAATGAGAAATCATAGAATGATCAATAATGAAATTCTGGGCGGCTGCTCTTTAACCATGATCCTTTGCATATTGTAAGATTTCAAGTTTTTCATTAGCAGAATACTACAAACGTTAAACTTTCGACATTGCATGTGAAAAATGTGGGTAAGAAGTTTAATCTATAAAAGGCAAATTAAGGATGTATAAAAATTATCATTAAAAAAAATATTCCCGAAATACAAAAAAAAATTTTCTAAATTTAAGTACCACCTTGAATTTTAGTCAAAATTTTCCTTTAAAAAAATGGTGCTTAAAATTAAAAGAATACGGTAACCAGTTGATCAGAAACCTTTGACCAATTGATATTAGTTACAATTATGAACAATTATAATTAGTCATGACTATAACTATTAACATTCCTGATTAATATTAATAAGAATAACTCTATTGATATCTTTATAACACCTTAATCTAATTGTTAGGTTTTTTTTGCTATATTTATCCTTAAATTCACTTGAAACACTAATATTTCCTATCTGTACTATTATTCATCATCAATCAGAATTACCTGATTTTAAAAAAAAATAGAAAATCAATCAGATCAAATCTGGTAATTTAAATTGACTTGATTGGTCCTCTATTTATTATTATTTGACTAGTGAATAAAAATAATATGACTCTATAATTTAATTAACTTAAAGATTTGAAAAATTAACTCAAATAAAAAAATATAATTAAGTTATTAAGTCATAAAGTAAATTAGGATTGATTAAACAATATAAATAATTAAAGAAAATCTCTAATTCTGATTAAAATTATGATCATAAATTATTTCTTTATAAAATAAATCCAATTAGAATTAATTAATCAAAATGAAATCAAATGTTATAATCAATTCCTTAAATTCAATAAATTATGATTAATCAATTCTTTAATTGATTTGACATTTTAGAATTAATTCTAATTCTTACTTCTGATTGACTTAATTTAATTTATTCCTAAAAAAAATAAATAAAAAAATAAAGTAAAAGATTAAAAAATCTATCAAAAAGGTCATTTTTGATTGGCTTATCTAAGTATATACTAAAAAAAATAAGCAATGAATAAAAAATATTAAAATGTAGTAAATCATTAGTCATTTAAATGTTTTATATTCTCTTATATTTAAAAAATATACAGATTTCTTTATTTTTAATAAAAATTTGTAATACTTTATTAGTAATTTTAAATGTTTTATATTCTCTTATATTTAAAAAATATACAGATTTCTTTATTTTTAATAAAAATTTGTAATACTTTATTAGTAATTTTAAAATAAGTTCTAAAATAATATAAAAACCTGTAATCTTCATATTTTGGAAATGCTATCTATCTAAAGTCTTTTAAAACTGAGATTATTTTTGATTATTTTTGTAAGCAGTTAATTTGCATTTTTAAATGTAAATGATGAGTAATTTTTTTTACTTAATGAATTACATTTTCTGAAAAATTATTTCAAATTGTATAAATTATATCTGATTTAAATTGATTTGCAATAGAACTGACTTTCTTTGATATCTTACCTAAGTATATTTGAAGAAAATAAAGAAAAAATAAAGATAAAAGTTAAAAATCACTCAAAATTTGTACCATTTTTTTATATATTTTTAAAAAATAAAGAAAAAATAAAGTAACATAGTAAATTTCTATTAAAAGTTGCTTTTGATTTACTTAAATTAGTTCTAAAATGAGGAATTTTATTTTTTAAAAAAAAAAAAGATAAAAAGAAAGTTTTTTGAATAAATCTGAAAGTTTTATTTTAATATAGTGAACTGATCTCAAATTTTGATTATTCTAAAATTTTGTTATTGCTTATTAGAACAATTTATCACTATTTTCACTTTTTATTTATTAATAAATTATAAATAAATTTAAAATGTAAGAATATAAATTATTTTTTATTATATTAGAAATTTATGTTTATGGTTCAGCAAACTGAATAAATAAAATGAATTATAAATATTAATCTAATTGGCATTGAACTTTATTTATTCTTTTAAAAGAATGTTTTAAAATAGTTTAAAGATTAGAAAACGTTCAGATGCCTACATTAAAATAATAAGCATTTCTGATTATCCTAATATACATAGGAAATTATTATAAATAATTTTAAGCTATGTTTTGTAGGAAATATTAGTAAGGAAAATTTTAATTAAAAAAATATTTTCATGCAAATTAATTATTAAAATTAGATTAATAACTTAAGCAAATAATTATTAGGTTATCTAACTATTACTATTATGTTCAACAATATTTCCAGGCAAAGTATGTTCTTCATTAATGTATCTAGGATATTGTTCATTCCTTTTTTTATTTTTATTCCATCTATAAAATAAAAATCCACATGCCATAATTATAATGACGCCTACAATTCCTCCAATTGATGCGATTATAATTTTCATTGTAACCAATTCACTATATGAATTATTTGTAATAACAATTATTGATGTAGTTGGCGATGATTTTGTTGTTGATGGGTCAGAATTTGTCGAAATTGCACTAGTTACTTCAAATGAATTAACCCAATTATAATTTCTAGTATCCATAATATAAATATTAGTATTAGGTAATGATAATGGAGCGGAATTTGGTTGTGTAATATTTCCTATTAAAATGAATTAAAGTAAATTAAATATTATCGAATTATTCCATTAAAGATATATAAAAAATTTACTTACCAAAAGCTACAACCATATAATTTCCAACTAGGTCAGCTGTGTGATAGGTCAATGATGGTGGAAACTGTCCATAAACTGGTGGCACCATCAACTCAAATTGTTCGGTTTTCATATTTAAAACAAACAAATTTGGAATAACTTGTATATTTTCCCCGCCATTAGAACCACCATAAATAATGATTTCATCATCTGAAGCTAATTTAATAAAAAAAGGTAAATTAATAAATAGATTAAAATATTATTTAATCTTAAATAATAATTTTATACCTAAGATCGCCGTATGCCCCAAACGGTTTTGAATTATATTTGAAGCTGTCGCTATCTATAAATTATTACTTTATCATCATAAATTCTAATCATAATTTTATTAAATATGATAATATAGATACATACTTTTACTGACCAAGTTGATGATTTTGTATCAAAAAGATTAATCTTCTTAATATCAATAAATTTTGGAGAGTCTTCGATCACTTCTGCACCACCGATATATACAATAACTCCATTCGATAAAAGTGTTGCAGTATAAGTATGTGATGAATTAGGTTGATTATCTGTATTTATTACCCATGATAATTCGACAGTATTTAGGATGACCATGTCATTGAAATATATTTCCGCTTCAGAACCTATAGCATTATTTGTACCTCCACCAAAAATATATATTTTTCCGGTATTATCAATGACACCTTTCATATTTCTTCGTCTTTTAGGTGGAGTCCCTTCAACTGTAGGTACATTCCACAATAAGGAATTTAAATTAAATGAATAAACGTTTGAAACAAAAGCGTCTTGATTTAAATCATTACGCATTAATCCACCAAATAAATAAATAGTTTGCTCTTTATCATTCAATAAAGCGGTCCCCCAGCAACTTTTGAATGGTATTCCAGCATTTTGCGTAAGGGAAATCCATGGTGGAGTAGTTAGATCAAATGATTGAGATAAATCAAGGTAAAAAACTTGATTTGTGCAAGATTTAGAGACACGTCCCCCCAAAAAATACAGCTTATTTCCAACAAGTACAGAAGAATGAGCTAAACGTCCTTCAGGAGTAAATGATACAACTCTAAAGATTAAATAACTTAACATGAAAATGAAGATGTTATATTTTTTACAATCCATGATTTCAATTAAATTAATTAATTTAATTTAATTAAAAAATTTTTGTAAATTAATAAAAAAAAAAAAATAAAAATTAATTTAAAAAATGTAACACTGCGTAAAAGTTTATGCGATCATTTTTTTTTGCGTAAAATAAATACTGAAACAATAGATTAACCAAAAACCGAAAATCGTTTACTTTTTTTTTTATCATTTTATTTAAATTAATCCAAATGGATTGCTTATGTTTTTCGTTTTCGCCAATCCCAAAAATTACTAGATTTGTTAAAGAAGCCGAGTACTACTTTAACTTAGATTAGCAATCGCTTCTTGTAATTGTGATATTTAAATATACTTTTTTAAAAATTTCTTATATGATACTATGTTAATTCAATTAATGAAATTATTGTTGTAGGTTAGAATATAAGGTCATTTTTTGTTAAGAACATTGGCTTTGCAATATTAACAGTATAAAAAACATATCGATATATATTAATTAGCTAAGCTCTATGAAAAAATTTGTACAGGTTTAGTACTGATTTTCGTACAGGTGTATACAGTTTTTGCGTATTTATTTCAATTTTCCATACAAAATAATTGTACAGAAATTTTAGCAGAGAAATCGTACAGAAAAAAAAATTTGAAATTTGAAATATATAAAAATTATGCTGAAATTGTATTGAAAAATTAAAACATACAGATTTTGTATAGTTTAGTATTTTATCGACGTATGGAAAATTTAATATTATTACTAAAAGTTGGTAAATTAAATTGTTGGCGTTAAAAGTAAACTTGCAGAGCAGACAAAAATACTGAACCGAATAGTATAAAAAATTTGAAATATTAAATAAATGAATCAATAAAAAATTTTACATACTATGCTTCCGAAGAACTACAATTATTGACAATGACCAGTTTTACACACCTAAAAAAAAAAAAAAAATTTTTATGGGTGAATATGGAAAACTAGAATTTTATGTGACAGCAATTGTTTTAGCAGGTGATTAATTGTTTCGATTTTCGATTTTGATTTTGAAAAAAATCTCATTCCCAACTTCAGGGTATATAAACATATGGTTTTTTTCTTTTTTTTTAAAAAAAAGTTATTGAATGTCATTAGTACAATGTATTTTAAACTTCCCTTTTCCCAAATTATACGATCGTCCAAAAAAATTGGTGTGTAATAAATAATATTTAAGCATTTGATAGAAGAAAATAATAAAAAAAAATAGATCAATAGATGCAATCTTACGATTAATGTCTACATACACGGTATTTGGGAAAGTTTAAATAAACGATATTTTGATGTAATCAATACAGGAAGCCTTTTTTAATAATAAATAAAAATAAAGTATATGGGCAGTAATCATATGATTTACTATGTCTCGTAACTCGATTTTAATAGCAAACGACCGATGTCATGAATTTTAATTGTTTCAAGCTCAATTTTTATTTGCGTTTATTTAATGTCATAAAATTTTATTGTAATATTCCTTCGAGGTTATATGAGATTATTTTTTATTCTTGACTTGAAATTTAATATCGTAATGTTATATTATACACTATTTTAGGTAAGGGTTTATTCTTATTTTTGCCAATTAAAGCTTAAAATAAACATATAGCCCAATTGTATCTAAAATTTAAAGCAGTGTAATGTTGTATTTGTGTAACGGTGTAGAAATGTAAATATAATTGTCAAGAATTCTTTTTTTTTTAAAAAAAAATGAGCTTTTGCTTTAATTAAAATTATGATTTGCAAAAGATATAAATTGCTTGAGTCTTTAATTTTCATGTTAGGCAATTTGTTGTTTAGGGTTGAGCCATTTACACCTGTAGGGCGTTATTCTCATTCATCTGTCCTTGTTAAAAATAAGCTTTATTTTTTTGGTGGAAATACTGGCAATCAATGCTCAAATGAAGTATTTTATCTTGATTAATCTCGTTCATTTAATTTGGCTACTCCGTCATGGATTGACCTTACGCCAAATGCCAAAATACCGTTCAAAAATTGCTGGGGAACTGTTTCGCTAAATGATAAGAACAACTTATTTATTTGTTTGGTGGATTATCATTAAATGCTACAAATCAAGTTGTAATCGCACCAAGTGTACATGCATTAAATTTAAATTCCTTATCATGGAATATTCCTAATATCGAGGGAATTCCACCTAATAGACGCAGAAACATACGGAGTGTCTTCGATAATGTTGGAAATATGTATATTTTCGGTGGACTTACTGGACCATATTTTGATTTACCAAAATCAATGACTATCGATGAGATGGTCATTTTAAATCCGGTTAAATTATCTTGGATAATCAATGCAATAAAATCAAGACATCTTTATTCCGCAACTTTATTGACAAATGGAATTATTATATATATTGGAGGGTTTGAAGTTGAGATTGCTGACATTAAGCAAATAATTCTTTACGATACAAATTCCTTAACTTGGTCAGAAAGAGTAAGTATTTATGTTATTAAAAATGTAAAAATTTTAAGCTAATTAATTGTGGTTTATAGATAGCGACAACTTCAAGCTTAATCGAAAACCGAAGTGGACATACGGCAGTATTAGGTATAATTTTGTAGTTCATGGTCATTTTTAAAACCATCAAATATTTATTTGCCTTTTTTTTTTTTTTTTTTTTTTATCTAAATAGCCTCAAATAATAAAATAATTATTTATGGAGGTTCTAAACATCTTGTTGGAATAACTCAAACTGCTCAAGTAGTTCCTGATTTATTTGTTTTAAATATGGAAACCGACCAATTTGAATTTATTGTACCAGTAACATCAAATATTGGTAAAGATCCACCATCACTATCATATCATACAGCTAGCCTGGTTTAAAATTATATGCTTGTAGCTTTTGGTAATTAACTATTTTGCACTCCTTATAAAATATTTAAAAAATTAAATAATCTTATTCAATTATATAATAGGAAATATTACACAGCCAAATTCAGCTCCGTTACCTTTAGCGAATTCCGAAATTTATATTATGGATATTAGAAATTATACATGGGTTAATTCATTTGAATTTATAACTAAATCTGTAACATCAACACCAACTGCTTCCTTAATTGTTGTTAATTCTAATAGTGAATTAGGTACGATTAAAATTATAGTCATATTAATAGGAGTTATTGTGATTTTAATTATTATTATTGCTTGTGGATGTATAATTTAATTAAAAAAAACCATCATTAAGGGGGAATATACTTTACCCGGATACATTAAATAGGAACATACTTACCCGGTGATATATATGAACATGATAGAAACAATTATATTCCTACCACGTAAATAAAGATTGTGTGCAGCTGAAAACCATATTCAAATTATTGTGACCAAATATGCTTGATATATTAAATGTAATTAAACAACTATATAATATTAACAAATTTTACTCATTTCATTATAGGACTTATTTTTATTAGATTATGAGCATTATTTCTGAATATTATAAGAAAGTTATTTTATTTGTTCTCCTTTACTAATACGAAGAGATATTTTATGAATCAATGCAAATTATCATGACGTAAGTTATAAATAACGAAATAAACGAGATAGATTTTGTATAATGAATCGCTCGAAAATTTATTTTCGATTAATTTATCAAATATTTTTTGAATAAAGAATAGCTTATTTAATTTCGGCAAAATTATTATTATTAATTAACGTACTGAAATCTCTGAAATCAATTTTAAAAAGAATTATTAATGGCTCACACATGAAAATATTATCACTAATATAAATAGTAATTAATCACGAAAAAACAAAATCTTTTTTTTTTTGTCATCTCTACCTTTGAAAATATTCCAAATATGATGATGAATAAATCTCAAAATAGCACTAGTATGTTAAATGTAAATTTATGGTTAGAGAGAGTCAACTTCTTTATTATTGACCAATATTTATTCTAATTATATGTTCCGCAGCATAAGAAAAGAAAATGAAGCCAAAGAAAATTAAAATACGGCAAAAGCTTTGTTTAATTTTTGATTTTATTAGAAGAAACAGGATTTCGTTTTTTTTTTAAAAAAACAATTATTATAGGACGTTATGTTTTATAGACAAATATTGTAAAACCAACGATTGTCAAAGAAAAATAACCGAGTCAGGTGATTGTTAAAATATTGAATATACTATTAATAATTATTAAGCTTTTCATCCAAATTTATCGGTAAGAGAAAATTCCGCTTTTCTGAAATTATCAACAACTACTATTTTTGTTAGTTTTAAGCGTATAAACGTAGATAAATTATGTGACACAGATTTTTACATACCTGATATCAATCAATTTAAACATGCGATAAAGGTTTAAAAAGTTTCTAAATTTTTTAGTTACACATTATAATAGAATCAATGTAATCATTATTAAGTTTAAATCATGCATTTTTTTTTTTTTTTTTTTTTTTTGCTTTTCCAACCTGAACCTGTTTGAAGACTAATTTTCTAAATAAAATAAATTAATTTGTTAATTTTAATAAAATAAATTGAAATTCAAACCCTTTCTAACTAAACTTTCAAAGTAGTTAAAATACTATCTAAGGGACATATCATGAGATTTTTTTATATATAATACGCGATGGCCAGGTCTTAGGACAGACATAATAGTCATATCATATAAACGAAGAAATAGTTTATTGAATTGTAGTTTTAGAGTATATTTGAGACCGTTGAGGATCGAAATAATTATTTAGAGCATGAATAAAAGTATCAATGGAATGTTACATTTGTTGAGTACTAAGGGGGTGTCGTTAGAACACTATTGTCAATCGTTTATAATTAATTAATTACAGATAAATTCGCGATTTTTCAGCACTCGTGTTGATCATTATTATATTAATTGCGCTTTAGAAATAATTAAAGAATAACTTTTTTTTATTGTTAATTAGTATTGTTGTTGTTGTTTATGTTTTACAACTCATTGTACTAAGTTTGTTTTGTTATCGAACTGTGCTAAATATTTAAATGTTACGAAATATCATTTTATCTATTATTTAATAGAATTTATAGTAATGTTTAAAAGTATTTTTTTGTATCTAAATCTAAATCTTTATTAAATATTATTACGAATTCATTTTAAACATATGGTGCCGGTTTGTCTATGTGATATTGCAAAAAATTGATTCCAATATTTTTCACCACAAAATGCGACTCCCAAATTAGTTAATGTTTATATATCCCAATGTATAGCGGAATTCATCCAACTTTTTTTAGAAAGTACTTTAATTAGAATTCGAATTTCAAATACAAATTAATCTCATAAAGAAAACCCTATGACACGCACTTCGTAATATGTACCATATCTTACAGCGATCGACATTTTCAGCAACATTAATCAAATTGCATTAGCTCGTTCCCTAACTGATCAACAAGGTTATCGTGTTGTCGGTAATAACCTTTGTATTGAGCAGATCGCACTTGAAGGAACAGTCGCTAATTAGCTGATATTCAAGCCTTTACAACTGTTTCCCAGCTTTTGATGTAGCTTTTGCTGAACCCAAGTAGAGGTGAATGCAATTATTACAAATACGAATGTTGCTATCATTACTAGTAATAATGTATTGATTAACCGAGAATTCAAGTTTCCACTAAAGGAATAAATGCCATAACATTAATTTGTCCGAGTTTAACCTTTCCTGTTCTTTAATGGAGTTGGAACAATTCTTGGAAATTCAAAATTAATTTTAAAGTTTAGATTTAGATTTCATGTGAGATTTCAAAAAGAAAACTACAAAAGATCTCGTTTTGATAGGAACTATGAAAAACTTTAATTTTCTTTTCGTTGACAAACATATTTAAATATCAAAATAAATAATGTTCTGAATTTACTAACAATAAAAAGTTTTCGTTTAGATTATATTATATATATATATATATATATTTTGATATATCGCACTGACAATAATAATGATATTGAAATTCATCCCAGATTTCGCCAATTATTATTTCGCCGAAAGTAGTTCACTACAGATTATTTCGCCAATAATGCATTAATAAGATGCAGAAAATGTATTAAATTTTTTTTGGTTTAAAGATTAAGTCTGTTTTATCGACAAGACAATTTTAATTTCTCATTTGGACAATCATTAAATATTTGAAAGCTTTTTTAGCATAATTTTAAGAAAAAAAGAAGATTAGGAACATGGCCAAGCAAGCATCATGAAGCATTATATAAACGCGATTGTAGAAATACTGAAATTACGGAGTCAAAGTTTAAAGGATATAAATATGTACATAGATTTTAACTCAAGACTTGTCACAAAATCATTAAATATAATATTTGTTTTTAGTGTTTCAATGAACAGCATAATTGTATCATATATTAAAAATTATAATAGATAAAGTTAGCGGATTTTTATTTATAAACAAAGAATAATAAATATACAAGAATATTGGGTCGGACGAACATAATAAACCGTATGATCAGTAACGTGAATTCAAAAACCGCCCATAAAATTAACTTTTGATAATTGATCTATATTAATAGTAATAAAAAAAATATTAAGATAAAATTAATCTTTTGAGAACTTCATCAAAACGTTTCTTTGAAGTAGAAAATTAATAACGAGAAGATCCTTGAGTATTGGAAGATTTCCAGGCCGCTCTTTCGAAGTAGAAAAAAAAAGTTTTTTTTTTATTTTTTTATTTTTTTATTTCGTTTTACATGATTGAGCATTGATTTGTAGGATTGGGTTTTTTTGTAAATTCAGAGGAAACAATGACAACTGGATTAGCTGTGATATGGTTAACAGTGGTTGGATTCATTTTTATTTTTTTTGTGAATTTTATTATTTTATTGTTATATTGGTATTTTTTGAACTTTTTATTTGATGAGGAAAAATCGGAGAGACGAAGTAATTGTATTTATAATAAATCAAGTTCGTATTTACGAACGATAAAATTAATATTACTAATGCATTAGAACCATCTTAGTATTGTATGCAATTTAGCCTTAATTACGATTATTCAATACGCCATAATACCTTAATTAGTTATAATATTAAAGAACAATCATTCATATAGATATTTCTGATCCGATAGTAACATATATTTGATTCGATTGAAAAGTAAATAAATCATGAAAGTAACCGTTCATATTGTAAGGGACGACATATAATGAGATTGTTCAAAAAAAAGAAAATATTTTCTTAATTTCGTATGAATAAAATTGTTCTGTTTTATAATTAAAAGATAATCATAAAGTTAGAACAATTAAATTTGCCATTAATAAATCCTTTTTATAAATAATAAGATGATAATCCTTGTTTCAAATTCGAACGATCTAAGAACGCTTCGTTTCAAATCCTAATAATAATTTTGTTATCCTGATTTTTCGTTCTCGTAGCAAAAGTGAACTATGAGGGTTACAATTTCCATTTTTTATTTTTTATTTTTTTTCTAATTGTGTTTTCCAAAAAAAAAATAATCCGTAAATGATAATTGGTGAAGAAAGTTTGGAATAAAATTTTTATAATTTTGGAGTCCTGCGGGGGTTTTTAAAAAATGTGGTTGGATTAAAAAAAAATTTATTCTGATGCTACAATTAGGCCGGACAAACTCGATCTTTCGGTTCTTGTAAACCGCCGGGTCACATTTTTGAAAAAGTGAGAAATGATTTTTTATGATAACAAATTTTATTTCACGTGATCAACTAATAAAAAATGGAGTATGGCTGTATAAATTTAATATAATTATATATAAATTTATTTTATTATAAATTCAATAGGTTCTTTATTGCGATTATTATTTGGAGCTATACCTATTAAAATTGAGGTACAAATCATATGATTTACTATGTCTCGTACCTCAATTTTAATAGCATACCACCCATATATAATTCTATGCACGGTGACACAAGATGTCCCGTTGTCCGCCCGCTCCAAAAGAAAGAAAAACCATTGAAAGTATAGTATTGCTATAATAGCATTTGATGCAGTCATAGAAAAAACAAACTATATAATTCTATTGGAAATTAGTATTTTCTTTTTTAAATGTTTTTTTTAAAAATCGATATTTCTTGCCAAGAGATCTAAAAATATAATAATCTATTCATACCCATGAAAAACGATTTTATAGAATTGAATATTGATACTTTATAACTTTGGAAATTTCTTTTTAATTACAATTACAATCTTCAATAATATTATTAAATAGTTTCTTCCCCCTAAAAAAGAAACAAATTTACGTTTAAATAATATCAATAGCCTCTTGCTCCACTAACAAAGTTCAAATTATCAGTCATTCAAAGTCTTTTTTTATATAAAGCAAGAACAAATAAATCATATTTATCAGCAAGAAAAAATTAAAAGTTTCATGAATTCACGAAGATCATAGTTATTTTTTTTTACTTTCTGGTTCGATCACTGATTGCGACGATAAAACATTTATTTCTCTTTAATTCTTTTAAGTTGGATTACTTTGAAAGGAATAGGTAATTTTTTTTTGATTTACTAACAAATTCCAAAGTCTTCGGATCTTTTGTCCGTTTATATGGTTGATTTGGATGATGCCTACACCAATCTTATCATCCATGATTTACAAAAATGGGTTATTTAATCCATATAACGACTGTTACTTAAGATTTAGACTAAGCTTTAGAAATTTCATAAATTTTTATAAAATTCTTGTAAATGATAATGAACTTTTATATAGCGTATATTTATTATACTATTGCATTTTTTTATTCGCATAAACTGATTCTTTTTTCGTAAAGAATATATATAATTTTACATGCAAGGAGATACGATATTAATAAATACTATTCACGTATTCAACGGAAAACATAATAAAATAAGAGTAATTTGAATAGTAATATTAAGTGATCTTAAGTCAAATATAAAATTTAATAGGCAAGAATATAACTACTCCTATCGTGCTCAACAATATCTCCTGGTAGAGTATGCTCCTCATTAATGTGTCTAGGAGGTAGTGCTTTCCTTTTAACATTCCATCTAAATATTAAAAATCCACTAACGATAATAATAACTAAACCCAATATTCCTCCTATTGATGCGACTATAATTTTCATAGTAACAAATTTACTCTCATAATTAGCAGCAATTATGGAAGCAGTTGGCGATGATTGAGTTGTTATTGATGGCTTAGAATTTGTCGTTACGTTTGCACTTGTTATTTCAAATGAATTAACCCACGTAAAATTTCTAGTATCCATTATATAAATATCAGGATTAGGTAATGGTAATGGATCGGAATTCGGTTGTGTAATATTTCCTAATGGAATAAATTTCGAATCAATTTTTTTAATTTTAAAACTATTTTTATAAAGAATTGTAATAAAATTACTTACCAAAAGCTACAATCATGTAATTATCAACCTGGTTAGCTGTATGACACGTAAGTGATGGTGGAACTTTACCTATATTTGATGTAACTGGTGGTACAGTCAATTCAAATTGTTCTGTTTCCATATTTATAACAAATATATCTGGAGAAACTCTAATAAAAATCATTGCGTCCTTACGCCCTCCATAAATAATAATTTTTCCATCTGGGGCTATTTAATACAGATAACAATAATGGTAAATAAGTAGTAATTAAATTTAATACAATCTATCATAAAACAAACTTATACCTAATACTGCCGAATGTCCTACACGATTTTCGACTACGCTTGAAGTTTTTGCTATCTATAAATAAATAATAACATAAATAATTTAGAATTAATAATTCATTACTTTTATCATAAATACATACTTTTTCTGACCAAGTTAATGAATTTGTATCGTAAAGTATAATTTTCTTAATATCGGCAAACTCTAATCCATATTCAAATCCTCCAATATAAACAATAACTCCACTTGTCAATAACGTTGCGGTATAAAGATCTCTATGTTTAGGTGAATTAATTATATAGTTTTCCCATGATAATTCAACAGTATTCAAAATGACCATATCATTGTAATCTAATGATGTTTCTAAACCTAAATCATTATCAGCATATCCACCAAATATATACATTTTTCCATAATTATCGATAACACTCTGTATATTTCTGCGTCTTTTAGGTGTAATTCCTTTGACATTAGGTATATTCCATGATAAGGAATTTAAATTAAATGAGTGAACAACCGACACAAAAAAATCTTGGTCAGTAGCATTAAACATAATTCCACCAAATAAATAAATAATTTGCTCCTTATCATTTGGTGAAACAGTTCCCCAACAACTTTTGAATGGAATTCTGGAATTTAACGTAAGGTCAATCCAAGGTGGAGTAACTATATTAAATGATCGAGATAAATCAAGATAAAATACTTCATTTAAACAGAAACCTTTATCATTTATTCCGCCAAAAAAAACTAGTTTATTTCTAATAAGTGCAGAAGAATGAGCATAACGTCCTACAGGAGTAAATGAGTCGACTCTAAAGAAAAAATGGCATAACACGAAAATGAAAAGGTCAAGCAATTTATATCTTTTACTAATCATATTTATTTGACAACTAAATTAAATTTTTAAGGGGGAAACTTATTCTTATCGAGTATGGGCTGTTATGGCATTTGATAAGCAAACATTTATGCGATCTCTTTTTTTGTAACCCATTTTTTGTGTAACTTCATTATTTTTGATCAGATGTAAATCAATTTTTAATAAATCCTTATAATGGTCGAAAGATAGGATATTAAAAATGCTGTCGAAAGATGAAATCTAATAATTGGGTTTATTATGCCATAATTTTAGCTTCGCAATTATAATTAGTATACTTAAAATCTATTGGAAAATGAAAATAAAGTTATTATTTTATTTAAACATTTCTCATTTTATTATTTTAGAGAGAATCCGATCTTTTTTATTTCCTTTATATCCACTTCGATCTGATTATTGACGCAGATGTTGTTGATTTTCATTTAGTCTGATTACGAAATCTTTTCTATTAGTAAACAATATGGGGCAACAAGCTTAATGACAAAATCTTGAAGCTTTAAATAATGACGAAGTCGAAACAATGGTAAAAATTAAATCGTTTATTATTAGAAATTCTGTATGAATCTTAATGAAGGATTCATATTTGTGTATCGAATCCTTAAATGAGCAAAGTTAAGCTTAAATTATTTTTAAAAAATATGTCATGTGACAGCTCACAAATTGGAAACATGATTAATTTGTTTTTAACATCTTTAGCTTAGCTTTTATTTTAATAAAATAAATAAAGATTATAATACAAGTTTTGCTTAAATATTTTTTTTTTAAAATTTTATAACTGTTCTATACTTAAAAAATTGAAAAAATTAAATTAATATCGATTTTGCCGATTTTTGATTTTCAAAATTGGAATCAAAAAATCATTTTTAGCAGCCGATTAATCGTTTCTAAATCGATAAAAAGTTTTAATTTATTTTAACACTTTTCCAAAAACCCATTTGACAATTAAGTTGCGGTAAAAAGATCTCTCGGTTTATACGGCATATTAAATGAAACGATTTCCCAAGATAAATTTACAGAATTTAAAATAACCAAATCATTGTAAGTCGTTGTTGTTGGTAACCAAAATATTTTCCAGCACGTCCACCAAAAATATACATTTTTCCAGAATTATCTTATCGTAAACACTGTTAGTGATAGTCTAGTTATGACGCATTAGTACTGCGCCAATTACAATTAGCGAATGATGATCCCGTCGATC